GAATCGATTATTAAATGAGTCATCGATTATTTTAATAATCGATTCATTGTCGATTAATCAATTAATTGGTGCAGCCCTATCCGCGGGTTGCTTTCACAGGTGGGTCTGCCCGGCTCAGGTCCGGATCTGATACTACCTCTGCTCACGGATCAGACCGCCTTCGTGTTTTTTCTGAATGCTCGTTGGAGGACTGAACACGCATCAGACCCGGACTGAGCCGTCTTATGAAACGGGCTTTAAGCTCTGTGTGTGTATGTGTGTGTGTGTGTGCGTGTGTGTGTGTGTGTGTGTGTGTATGTGAGAGAGAGAGAGAGAAGTGAGTTGCCTCCTGTCGTATGAGTAGATGTGAGTGTGCTTTGATCCTGGGCTCTCCACCAAAAGCTCCAAATGTCACTCCCTTCAAAATGTCACTCACACTCCATGGTCGACAGAGCTCCACATCTCAGTCCTGTCATTATGTTTCTTCCTGTTTCTCACTCAGATCAGTTCAGTTCCTCCGTCACACCATTGTTATCTGTCTGAATTTACATCTCAGCATCTCACTGATCACTCTGACTCTCATCAACGTTTTCATTTTTGTTATTTTTCTGTCCTGTTTGCTCCTTTTCTTTCCTTTGTGTTCCCCTTCCTTCCTTCCTTCCTTCCTTCATGCTGAATGAAGCCGGCAGAGATGCAAGAGGAGGAAGCAGCAAAGGAAGAGGAGGAGGATGAGGAGCAGGAGGGAGGGAGAGAAACCACACCAAATGAATGGCTTAGGGAATGAGGGAGTGATGTTTCTTTGTTCCAAAGAGAGGCGGGAGTGGGTGAGGAACTGTGCTTAAGATSTGATAGTGGGTAGACCTGCTAGATTTTAGTGTGTGTGCATGCATTTACAGAAATACAGAGTTTTTCTAAGTATGAGCTACATGACGACCTGCTGCTACAGTGAAACCAATGCTGACTGAAAAATACTTTGTAAGTAATGCAAACTGTTCCCTCAGACTTTCAGCAAGATAACCCTTAATTATTTAGATTTTAAAGGAATTTAAACCATTATGAAGACGGTTTCTAAAAAAGTTATGAAAAATTTACATTGCGTCTTAGCGACTCATGCTAACGCTTTTCCACAAACCAATATTGTGTTTCAATTCAGGCTTATTTCCATGGAGTTCTGTAATTGTTAACACTAATGCCACCATCAACAGCAGCATGTAGCGATTTCAGTCCAGCCCTGGGTCAAATCCAATATTTCAAATTTCGATTGAAGCTATCAGCTAATGCTAAAGATTGATTTTTCAATTTAAGGATTCAGATGATGGCTTTCTCATGAACCTCTATGAAATTTTTAAGATTAAGTTTTAGAAAGGCAGCAATGCTTTTCAGATGTTGGTCTGTTCAGACAGTTTATTATTTAGGCCTTTGATTTAAGTCAGTTGCGAACCGGTTCTCGTTTACAATGACGACCTGGTCAAGAGGCAGCAACACAAGTGGACATAAAACAATGATTAAAAAAACATGGCAAAAACAGCATAAACTAACATACATAAAATACTGTATACTATAGCAATAAAAACAAGTACAAAAAGAACTAAAAGCAAGTAAAGTGGTCTTGTACGATTGATTGTAGGGAACTTTTAAAAGAGAAAAGTGAAATAAATGAGTTGTTTTATTAGTGCTGGGCGGTATACCGGTTTGTACCAAAGAAAAACATGTTCTTTTCTTTTTTGTGTACTATGATAAGAGATGAATTTTCTGAATACTGACATACTGGTTTAAATAGCCTGAACGTGTTCAGAACGCCACATGTGCCCTCCAGTGAACTGTTTCATGGGGCGCACTTCCTCACAGTGCCTTTATGAGCATTAGCAAGCTAATGTTACTGTTGGAGCAGCTTCTCAATAACTGGTCGCAGGTGGCGATTCTGCTGTTTGTATTGACTGATGTAAAAAAAACTCTTGTTTTTGGCATTTCTGAATGTAGTATACACCTCTTCAGTGACATGCATGGATAGATTTCATGCACGTCGTAAATTTGCTCGATGTATGGAGACGTTAATGTGCTTTTATTGTGAAAAGTGTGGGAGGGTGTTTTTTTTTTTTACTGGGGTTGAGTTGATGGTTGCACAGAGGTGGTTGCTGCGCAGGTCACAGCTGTGTGTTTCAAGTCCAGTTTACAACACCTCCGCTCCGACAGACGTGCAGGAAGGAGATTGCGCGATAAATTCAGTGATAAGTGTGGAAGTCACAGCAAAACATAATTAATTCTGTGAAAGACGAACTCCAAACACAGCTGAAAACGACGATATAAAGGCTTTTATCTATGGTTGAAACTGTCTCGCTGTCGTCTTTCTGAAACTTCTGATTTCAAAATAAAATCCACGTGTATCGTGTGTGTACAAATATGCTTCATGCTACATGTTTCCCTCTGCTTCCCAAACAGAACGATACATTCTGACACCATTTGTGTAGACATATATCCGTATATTTATTAATATAGCTGCAATTTCAACATTTTTCCAACAAATTATTCAGCCTAAAAGTGTCTTATTTTGAAAATACGGATGTTGTGCTCGTTTCTTTTCCTGTTGGTATGATGTAATCTTTAAAAATTGACTTCGGCGCTGCTCCGTCGTCTGGCAAAAATAGGATCTGTTCTAATTTTGATGGATCGCCGTCCGCTCACCGCCGCCCTGCGCCACCGTGCGCAGCCAGTATAAACACTCTCAGTGGTTATACTGGGTGCGTATTTGCTGTGGAGGTCAGACCGGAGCGGAGACGGAAAGCATGTAGAGTAAATTAGGGGTGAGTCGTCCTGTTAAGCTTTATTAAATAACACAAAACAATAGATCTGATGATCTTTGCTCACCCCCCCCCCCCCCCCGACCTTAAATACTGTTTACAACCAGACAGAGAAGAACATGTAGAGGAGGAAACAGTGACACAGACAGAGGCAATGTGAAAGAAAAAAGTCAAGAAATAGTTTCTGTGTTGAATAAAGACAGTAAATTCAGCTGACTGCAGTTTGCTGATCAATAAGCAGCGTTTGTACTTTTAACAGCTGAGCTGTGATGAAAAGAAAAATACAGTAATACCAGTATAAGTGTTGAAAATACTGTGATATAAAATTAGGGTCATACCGCCCAGCACTGTTTAATTATTTAGTCAAATAGGTCTGAGCAGTCTCACTTCCAAGATAAGTTCATTTCAGTTCAGAATGATATACGAAATGACATATCTATCTATCTATATATATATCTATATCTATATCTATATCTATAT